TACCTCAGTGCTTTAAATCAACAGCCTAACCACAGAAGCTCATATTCTTAATGGACACAACTGCATAATTACTCCATTGATGCCTGAAAAGTAACTCACTTAGCATTCAGTCAGAACAAAGAAAGAAACCTAGATTTCACTTAGCCCCGTTCAGGATGTGTTTTCACTTGTTAATAGCGTTCAAGCCTAGTTCTTTTTTGGCCAGTGTCCAACATAACCTGCCTTCCTGCCTGTTGCCATTTGTCCTAATGTGTATCACACACTTGAGAGGATTTCTTTTCTTTTACTGTGGAATTTTAGTTGCATGTTTAGAAAAATAAAACAATACCTGCCAGCAGTGGGATATTTGAAATTCTGCTGTCCAGAAGCACAGATTTAGAGATACAAAATCAGCAACTATAATAACGCATATTCTGAGAATATTTTAGTATTGTTTCCACAAATTCATTTGATCAATAAACTATACTTGTGTTTGTTTATTTTAAAAAGCTCATATGCTTAAAAAGAGTTTGAATAAAGAGATATTTTCCCTTTTAAAAAATTACTGTCGTGTGGTTTTGGAGGGTGAAAATGTAAAGCTGCTAAGATAAGATTAAGTATATAGGAGAAAAGGATAATGATAGTATCTATGTTACAAGGATTAAATTAGATAATCCATGTTGAGCAGTTAGAACAGTGCCTGACAGTGATTGCACAATATAAATTGCTATCATTATTATTATTCCCGACATCTGAGGGAATAAGCTCAGATTTTATTTTTCCATTAAAATATACTCAGCAGATTCTTTTGTAATCCTAAGTACAATGGTAGCATCTCAGTATACAGGGCAGACAATTCAATGGTTTTATGTCTTTGCCCTGTTTTATGGCATATTTTTGTTTTTTTATCATTTTTCATATTGATTTGATGAAACATCTGACATACATTACTTAAAAGAATAAATCAAATAAATATTTTAAATGTTAAACACAACTGTGGATTACAGGCTAAACATCTGTGGCAAGGCTTCCATAGATAAAGCAATATTCTTTTCAGTTTGGCTCTCTTTGGCCAGTTGTATGTGACAGGTGATTGTCAGGTTTGTAGAATTTAATCTTGAGAAGGCTTGAAATATGTGGCTTTTCCTGGGACTCTGTTGTTATTTTGTGGTAGTTCAGATAAGTGCTAGTGATGGGGAAAGCCTCAAACTCTTGGGTGGATAAGGACCTAAACATCTTGTCACTTCCAAACCTCTTCACCTTGAAAGGAACTTGACAAATGAGTGACATTTCTGAAACCTACTGTTATCACTTTAAGAAGCATATCTCTTAGTATCTTTCAGGATTTGGTGTCAGGAATTGGTAAAGGCTATGGGGAATAAAATTAAATTCACGTCAAGGAAGGAAAATTGAAACCAACTTTTTTGAAAATGTGTTTATTTAGTTTATTTGTTGTTCCTGGCCTGGTTTCTGTAGACATATGTAGCCTTAATATGAGGATGATGGATTTGCTTCTCAACACAGGCTCCTGGGCCTGCTCGGAGGACCCATGACCCCATGCTGCTCTGGAAATGCCCTGCTTTGTGAGATGTGCCACATTTCCCATTTTAAACGACTCAACAGCCACTTGCATTTGATTTTTAAAATCGGTGCAAAACAAATAACAGTAATGATGCTACTTCTACTATGAAAAGCAATGAAACATCAGTTTCTTAAATGCACAACTCAGAGGCAATTATTAGCAATTAGTTCTTCAATGATGTGCCAGGCACCTGGGGCCTTGGACGCGGTGCCACTGAAGAGGAAGATCCTCCAGCTTTAGCGCATAAAGAGCTTGACAGTGAGGTTCAAAAACAAACTTAACCAAACAACTGCTACCTTTCAACCAGCAGTGAATATCCACCCTGATGGTGCTCTCTGGAACCTCTCAGAGCACCACAGCCCACACACTGGGGACGAGGGCTGCATTGCCAAGGCTTGACACTCACAAGGCCACTCAGACCCACACAGGGTCTGCAGAGCTCCTGCCCTGAGTAACTCCGGCCCTGTCCCCATTTGTGACCTTATCACTGGAATAGGGTCATAAAAATCTTAAGACCCAGACCCTAATCCTGGTATCTTGAGATTGTTGCTAAGAACCAACAGTGGGGCTGATCAGCCAAAGACGTCCAAGTTGTGTATCTTAATTTGTTTTGAAATTTGCTACCTTCTGGTCCCCAGCTGAGTTTACATCTCTCTGATTCTCCCAGTTGTAGCAATCTCTGTAACTTCACTGAGACAATGGTCTAAAGGCCTAAAAGGCCCATGCTATTAGCCAGACGCTTAGGAGGAGAATATTATTTTCTCGCCAATTAAGTAAAACTCCTTACGGTGAACACCTAAAATGGGGTCTTTATACAAAATAAGAGTTCAATAAATACTTGATGAATAAATGAAACAATGAACCAATCAACTGACAAAAAAAATTTGATGAGTTGGTAAATGTTAGTAAATCTTTGTTTATCTCGACTAGAATGAACTTTTCCCAAAGTATGATCCAATAAATTGTAAGCCCTGTGAGGACACTAGTGTACCATAAACCTTCTCTATTATACACAATTTTCCCCATAAGGCTATACTTGAATGGACGTTCAATAAATATTTACTAATTGAATCAAATTATATAAATTACACAAGATTGAGTTTTATAGTTTTAACTATCCACACAACTCTATAAAAGCATATCTCTTCCCAAAAAAAGTCATTTTTAAAGACAAAGACAACCAAAACGCAAAGCTTATCTTAAAATAATTTACGCACATTTCCTGGGGAAAATATTCAGCTTTACCTAAAGTTACTGAGATTTTTCTAGAGATGTGATGTCTGCACACCCACCTGGAATCACCCCCATTAGCTTAGGCTCTTAGCTAGACAAACTGGCATGTGTTAGGATGGCATGTCTTATTGTGGGAAAAAAAAAAAAAAATTCAGTCCCCATTGATAGAAAGGGGCAAAAAACGATTGCTCCAAAAGCCAAACACGGATTCAGCTCTTACAGTCTCCCTTTCTCATCTTAGATATCCTCCCCTCTCCTCAACGACTCAGAGTTTTTCTTTTTTTCTTTTTATACCATGATTAATTAGGAAGTTGCTAATAAAGAAAACTGACAGATCTTGATGACTGCAGTGTTTACCACCCATTTGCAGTGTCCCTAGGAAATATCTGTCAATTTTAAATAGAAAAGGCTAAAGCAATTGTTGGGAGGTTTTAAGGAGAACTGCCCCCCACCCCCAGCTTCAATTAAGAGCATTTGGGACCCAAGCGATGGCGGTACCCGCTTCAGGGCTCCAAGTCAATTGGCAGGTATAGGCCTATCTTACCTGTAGACTGATGGCCAAGGCCAGTCTGCTAGAAGTCAGCAATGGCTCAGCAATGTGAAAATTTTGAATGTCCCCAATTTTCTATTTGTTCAGTAGCAAATATTTTCAGACCAAATTTGGTAGAAAAGACATGCTAAAAGTTGCCCTTACTAATAAAGGAGAAAAGGAGACTTAACTGAGCAGAAGGCTAGAAGAATCTTTCAGTATAGAGGTTACCGCCATATTAAGTGGGACTTTGGGATCAGCTGGCAAAGCCACTAGAGTGGTAGAGACCATTGTTATGGAGACTCTGCCCAGGCGGGGTATCAAGGTTGGAGTGAAGGCTTCTCATACTCGCGTGGGAGCTCATGAGCACAGGGTGGGATGCATTGTGTAAAACTGTGAAATGAGGCAAAAGGCAGGACTGGGTTTTCTCACTGAAAACAGTATTAGAAACATACAGATGAGTCCCTTATCATTTTGAAAAAGTACAACCAAATGTTTCAACTTGAATAAATGGAGCAGTTTGCTCATCTGTATAGCCAGTCTGTCACTTTCTTGCAGATTTTGGGTTAATATGGCTACATATTCTCTCCACCCTTCCCAATGGCTCACACTTTTGTCAAACGTCTCTATCACTTAGGGCAAGAAACTATAAAAGCATAACACATTCCAATCTACCGAAGAAAATATTTTCCATCAGAAACAGTTACACAGCAGCACAGATTGCTTACTACTTCCATGACAAGGAGACAGCAAGAAATGGGGGAAAATCGGAACGACTTCAGATTGGGCAACGGAGGTCAGAATTAGCCAAATTCCTCTGTGAGACATTATTTTGAGACATATATCAATAAGTTACAAACACAATTAGTGAGGCCCCATTTCACTCCATTTTAAATGTGGCAGATGGGTGCTAAGGGATGAGGGAGTGAAATGGAAAGAAGAGGAAGATTTCTGAGGACAAAATACATGATGGTAGATTAAACCAAACCACAGCTATCCTTGCCTTTCAGTGGCCAGTTCTGTTACGTGTCTCACATTTTTGCTAAGAGAAGACAACGGCAAGGCTAAAAAGACAAGGAGTTCCTTAACGGGCTGTGTCCTGCTATCAGGTGACCAAGAGATCTACAAACAAGAGATGGCTGCTGGTAAGTACTCTAAACTGTTCAGATTTACACCGGCCATCAAGGTAGACTCGGTCTTCGTGATGCTGCTGGGAGTTAATGGCTAATATGCAAGAGCCGTCAGTTCTTCCTGATGTGGGATTATTGTGTGGAATGCGACACAATTTGATTGAGCACCATTGCTAAATTGCCCAAAGGGTAGCTGAAGTGACACCCATTTTCCTGGCACTCAATCAAAGATCAGTGAAACTGTGTACACACTCCTTTCTCTTTCAGTGGATCAGTGTTGAAAGAAGAATATTATCAAGGGCCGGAGGGGATGAGAAGGGAACTCCTCTTGAAAAAATTAGCTGTTCAGGGCGGTCTTTTCTAACCACAACCCTCTCCGTGGCTCCTCCTCTCAAGGTTTCCTTGTCTGGGCTATTTTCACCTATTTTTTGCAGAAATGCCCCACACTCAGGAGGGCCTCCCAGGCTTCCCCTGGAGGTACGAGGAAGGAAGATGAAAGTGCCTAGAATGGTCTTGACAGTGGGGCTTGGCACTGTTTTTGCTCACATATTCAATACTTTCATAGACACAACAAAAAATTACTGGAAGCCTAATACCTTATATTCAGCCTCATACTGAAGAACTTTATTTTTGTGTTTTTTTTTAAGCTAAAATGTTACTGAAAACAAAATTTTCTCACTAGCTGCTTCAGAACAATATACTGTATTATGAAGCTCCGTACATTTTAAATGTTTTTGAAATCTTGACAGGACACTGTTAAGTCCCCATTTCTTTTTCCCCTTGAATTTTGAATTTTAAACCATCTTCTTCCACTTCCAGGTTCTTCTGCATCAAGACCAGGCTGCTGGATGGAAGGAGCCGTGAGAAAAGTGCACGAGAAATAATAAGTGTGGAAAACACAGAAATGGAGCACCCGTGGGGCTGAAGATGGCCTGGACTCAGCGAAGGCTCTGGCTCCCGAATCTGTGGTCCCTGCTGGGCAGCCTGAGGCAGGCCAGGCCAAACTGAAACAGCAGGAAGAGGGCTGTACAATGGGTCCCCTTGAATCATGCTACTAAAAAAGGTGCAACGAGAAACGAGTCCCTGTGCATTCTTAGTCACAACTGTGGGCAGAAGAACCCATCCGATTCCTCCCTTTGGTATTAAATAACAGTTTAAAAAAGCTTTTTAGAAACAAAGCAAATACACGGTGGGACTGGAAATGTGAGCCATCCCAGGTTAGTCGTCCACTGAAATGAGTCTCATCCCTAGTCATAAATAAATTATCTCTCTCCTGGTCTGACTTCCACGCCAGGATCAATATCTCTTAACATCTTACTTATTTTATTACTGCTTTTGGTTTTCCGGGACTGATTGAAAGTTGCTCAGAGGAAATCTTTGGTTTTGCTTAAGTGTCCGTGACATTTAATCATGACTTTCCTTGAAGTTTAATTCCAACCAGTCAATCAGTTAATCCACTTCGATTGATTCTGGGCTCTCGGTTATTGGCTTGCACTCATTGGGCATCCGCTGGTGTCGGCTCAGCTGGGTGGCCTGCGTGAAGCTCCTCTCACACCTCTCGCACCTGGTGGAGGCAAGAGAGAAAATTGAGACCAGGGAGCAGGGCCTGCAGGTTGATGGACTTCCTCTCATCCTGCCTAATCAGAACAGACACTCCAAAGTGGCTTCAGATTTTACTGGCTCAAGAGGTTTAATTGGTGGCTCCTTCCAAGGCCTGGATGCCTGTGATGGGACAAAGCCCGGCTGATGCAGAACAGAGGGATCTGTCAATAGGCAGAGGGAAGGTGATTTCTCCAGAGAGCCCTGTCCTGCTGCAGCTCTGATCACTGTCAGTTCAAATAGATAAAGAACAAAAAGAGATTTTTAGGAGTGAGCCATCAAAGCAGCAGCTTGTCTGCAGTTTTCTGCTCCGTAACCCCAAAGAGAAATTGATGACAAATAGAATTTCACCTGCTACTAATTTAAAATCGGGACTTCTACTCCCCTCAGCACAGCAGCCAGAGAGCCATCATCTTTGAATTCGGAAACTGGAAGAAGCAGTGCATTAGTTTTCAGCGACTGTGGCGGGTGGGTGTGGGTGACCGCTTTGGGGCAAAAGCTAGAGTATCACAGCTCCACCGAAGTTAGGGTTAAAAAATGTTTGCATTGGGATAGGGGACTCAGAAAAACACGAAATCAGCCAATGTTTGTGTGCTTCAAATTCACCTCTACAAGGCACAGCAGGAAGAATGTACACGTGGGCCGTAATTAAGGGTTGGTGTGTCTGATAAGGAGAACACTGGCATCGCACTTCAGGAATATCTCCTCCCCTCCTTAACTTAAAAAAAATGCTAACCTAGAGACCCTGGGCCTAAGCCATCTTCCCTGTAACACACACCGACTAGCTTGATGGCTACACAACCTTCAAAACACACACACACACGCACACTGCTGCAGCAAGCTGGGCACGGACAGTGGCTTCCCTGTCACTATTCCACTTGTCTGGGCTGCCTGGAGCACTGGCCGAGCACCCATTGGGGCACAGCAGCCCCCTCAGCGCTCCCCCTAATGTCCTCTCCTGAAACCTTAAAAGGAAAAGATACTCAGGAGAGCTGCAGACAGTTGTTCTTCTTTTAAATAATGCAACCTTCGGCCTCAGGTCCCTGCACTAGTAGGGCTGTGGTAAAGCCATCAGAAGAAAATCCACACACGCCCAATCACTTGCCACGTGCCCCGCTACCCGGTAGGCAGCCCTGTCTTTTTCCTTTGGAGTAAATTATACAAAGTGCCTTGCCAGGGAAATAATTACCTATAAAAATAAAACACATCTATCCCTACTAGGGAGTCTTGCATATGTTTTGTCGTTGGGAGGCTGGAGCTTGACTATCACGCTTGGATTTTTCAGGGCTCCTGCACCAGCTGAATGTGTCAGCATGAGGAAGTTGTGTTTCTTCAATTGTCTTTCGGGGGATATTTTTAGCAGCCTGTTCCACTGTTAAAAACTGCACTGTGATCTTGACAAATGTATAATGTCAGCTTTAATGTATCAGACCTATCAGCTCAATGAAAATAACTCAGAAGTATTGATCAGCTAATGATTTTTGGTGTATTCATTAACATCCATGGGCAGCTCATCCCCTCTCCAGAGCTCCTGAAGTGCTGATGACATGCTAGTGAATTGCTGATTGTTTATTAGAAAACTGATTAGTTACTAAATTAGTGTGTCAAAATATACTACCTTTCACTGCTTGACAAACTTTCAAATTATTATATTCCTTTTTTAAAATTTTGAAGCTCTAGAATCAATTTCAAGGAGAGAATAGTTTCAAAGTTATAAGTTATGACTAGTTACCTAGGTCATGTTTTTGCACCTTTGATCTTGTGTATCAGAATATAAAGAATTCAGAAGTGGGAGGTGTAGTGCTTCACATAAGGCAAATGTGTATGTCTATATGTAATATTAAACACCCAGACTGGGCAGAGACAGTAAGAGGGGAGTTAACATTTTTCTCCTGTGTTTGCCTAACTGCCTCACAGATATTTACACTCATGGAACCATCTGTTGTCATAGTCAGGAAATTTACTAAGTCTATAGGGCTCTCCTGAGATCATCACTGAAAAATCATCTCTAGGGCCATCTGCTCACCAAGTGTGAGTAAAAACACATGCAGATGTGTAGAAAATTACCTTAACTTAGATCCTTTTCCTAGGAATTTCCCTTTCTTGAGGAAAGTGGGCTACTAGAAATAATACCTACGTGTGTTGGTAATGATAAGAATGTAATTTGTATAATTAAGGATATAAAGAGAACTTGACGTAAAAATATTTTTAAATAAGGGGAGAGCCTCAGTTTTATGTTCATCATCTTTAATTTCAGAACAAAAATCCCTTCACAAATTATTTTCATGGCTTAATGGAACACATCAGAAGGACAGACTCAATGCAAATGCTTAGGTTCTGGCGGGTCAGAGCTGGACTTCAGCTGTGTTGGCACGGAATTAACCCTGAACTACAATCCCAGCCAAGTGACTGGTCGTGGGCACCTCCAAGCCTGGATTTCATGCGGTTTAGCAGAATAAGAAAGAAAGAAAGATGCGGGTAATGATCCAGGAGACTAAAACTGCTCTGGCACACAGGGTCTTCCTCTCAGTGCTGACGTCACAGCCTTTAAGGAAACATTGCAGGAACAGTGAAGTGGAAAGCCATCCAAATATTTCAGCAAAGAGAAATTCCCCAACTTTCTGCCAGTGTGGGCATCTTAATGAGACTTGAGTTCCTTTTAGATTTGAGATCATCCTTTACTTAATGTGATAGTCGACTGGCTTATAGGTACAGAGGGAGCTTAACAATCGTCATCTGAAACTGACAGATGTGCAAAACGATGTCAAGTTCTGTTCACAGAAAACCTACAGGAAGCTTTCTTTCTGCTCCTCTATGGCCTGTCACCAAATATTTCCTGAATGAAACCAAATTGCTTTGTACGTATGATGTGCTTAATGCATTTTACTGATGTGTTTTTTTGGTTTGCTTTGATTTTGCCTAGATCTTGCTAAAATATCCGATGCTCTTTGGAATATCCTTTGATTATTTTTTATACTGAGCCAAACTGTCTTCACTTAAGGCACAAACTTAGTGGTATTTCCCCTGCTTCTAATGAAGATGAAGAAAAGAAACTCTCCTATGGAAAGTCCTGGTCTTCCCAGGCGCAAAGGCCAGGCATCAAGCAGCTCACATGGATCCTGGGCAGAGCGGCCTCTCTGAGATGTTGAGAGATTATGTTTAGTAACAGAGAAGGAGAAGGGGTTCTCACTGTAAAGAGTAAGTTTGAGACTGGCAACTTCCTTCCTTCCCTCCTTCCTTCTTTTCTCTTTTCGATAAAGTGCTTGGCAATTGCTGTGAGATGAAATGATGTCATGATTTTGTTCCTTGTTCTCCACGACTTCCAGCCTCACAGTACAAACGGAAAGTACAAACTTCAATATGATCCTTTGATATGTGCTTTTCCTATGATCTCCTTCACCTTATAAATTCTGCATCCACAGCCTAGGTTAGCTGCTGACAAGCCCATGATCTACCTAGAGCATGGGGGACGGAGTCTTTCAGTGGCATTTCAGCCAATCAGATTGTGAGACAAAGCCTGGAGTGAAACTCTCATCTCTTACTGCCATATCTTCTCCAGGCTTCTTGTATGGCAATAATCTTGATCTGCCCTGAAAAATCACTTTTCAGAAGAAGATTTTAGAAGCTAGAAAAGGCTTTCCCCTGTTGTGGCCTGGCCCCTAACAATCTTGCAAAGGCCTCCCAGGCCCTGGGTGGGTAGGACAATTTGAGGACTGAGCCATTTGGGGCATGGGTTGTGTATCTTTACAAGACTCTTTTCTTTCTTTGCAACATTGTTTCAGCCAATACCCATTAGTTGAAGTAGTAAAATTAACCATTGTGGCAAAATCCATTTTATTGACTAATCTGCAATAAACTTTTTTTGAATGTTTGTTTTATAGGCTTGTAAAAGGATATCCTCATAATATTTACAAATGTCCATGGGATGGATATCCATGAGCTATGGTTGGAAGATTCCCAAAATTCCCTTGGGGTAGTTCAATCCTGAATGATCTGGTTGTATACACTGAAGGATTTAGCTTTCCATTTCCTAGAAGACGTTTAAATCTTGCACTTATAAAATACACGTACACTCAGTTCTCCCCTGGCAATATGTTTAACATTTGATAAATTTAAAAAAACAAACTCTACAGCATATGGCTATCCTAATATGAGAAGAAGCAGGAGGAACTAAAACAGGCACAGTGAATCTAATCCAACCAAGTCTGGTGTTTCCTTTTTTGTTTTTCCAGATGAAATCAGGTTATGGTCCCCAAAAATACTTTGAGAAAGGAAAAACGTACAAGTACTAAAGCCCTTCTAATATTAATCTGATGAATTAAAATTAAGTTAAAATGGCACCTCTATTGGAAACAGGACAAAAACAGGATGTTAAGAAAAAAAACTGACTGGAGTCAACGAGGTTATACTTAAGTAACACCTGAACATTAATAGAAATCTATTTCCCACGCTGACCCTGAAACCTCTTCAATTAATTACTAAAATCTATTTACACAGCAACAAGATAAAAATCAATCTGATTCCTGGCACTGTATCCATCTGGCTACCCTCTCTAATATAAGGGGCCAGGAGGATTGTCAGTCCTCCTGCGTCTCTGCTTTTGAAGAGCTCTCTTGCTCAAAGGCACAGGGAATGTGCCACTGTCATCTTCTACATCTAGAACAGTGGTGAAACCAGAATCTGTGAACCCCCGAGGGCCTAGGGGAAATGACAAAGCCCACTGTGCAGACACAGACACCTGCCATAGGGAACTCGAGGACTGTGCTAACCTACCCGGCCCTTAAGGGTAGATTTAAAAAAAGGGCCCCCTGGGGCTATGGCAGCCCCAGAGGGCACAGCTTGGCTGGCGTAGTGCAGGCTGGATGTTTAGACCCCATCCAGTGCCCTCAGCCAGATGCCTTTATGCAGTAAATAAGCCCCACCTGTGTACACAGACAAAAATTAAAACTTTTCACAATTAATATCATAAATTAAACCTCAATGGAAAACAGTTAAGAATAACGAATAAAGGTAACTAATTCATGGGGAGGTGGGTAAAGATGACAGCCTTTTATGAGCCTCTCCCTCTCCTGGCAGACACCAAGGCAGGCAGGACCCAGACCAGCAGGACTCTGCCACCCCAAGCTGAGCCCCGTCTCAGGCCGAGCATCATGGCAACTGCATGCTACGCCAGCAGGTCCAGAGGGAAAAGCATGGGTAATGAGACTCTGGGAAGACTCCTTGGCTGAGACCAAGAAAGGGGATTCACCTCCTACTGCCTGAATCATTTCCTTTCTTGCTTGATCTTGTCCTACAGAAGGTAAATAGGCTGTTCATCCACGCCCTTTTCATGTTCCTCCTTCATCAAGGAAAGTCATTATGGCAAATGAGGAAAGAGAGATATAAGAGAGTTGAACAAAAAAGAGTCTATCACACAGACAGTAAAATCTGCTCTGAGATGACCAACCACTCACCCAAGCTGGCTCACCCTCCCAAGCCTTTCCATGTCCCACATGGGCTATCAGAAAGCCTCCTTTCCTTTGTATGTCTGGAAAACTCCTACTCATCATTCAAAACACATCTTAAACATCATCTTCTCCAGATAGCACTGATTACTCCACTTTCGTGCTACCCTGAAACACTGTATATACATGCCTTATTGTTTTTCACTTTTGCACCCTTCACCCTACGTGGTAATACTTGCTTATTAATTGGGCTTCCCCATAAACTATGAGGTCTTCAAAGACTAGGGAGCTGAGTTTCATTCACCTTTATATCTCTTGTGCCTAGCAGGGTGCCTAGTACAAAAGAAGGTGTTCAATAAATATTTGCTGAATGAATGAACACATATATACATGAATGAATGAATGAATGAGCGAGTGAATGAAGAGACCATCTTGCAGGATTCAGATGTCCACCGTTTTCATGACTGTGCTATATCCAGAAACATAGTCTCTCGCTCAGGTGCCCTTACCTTGCCAAAGCCCTTGGAATTCCGTTCTCTTTCCACATTCCCTGAATCCTCAAGGACTCAGACATGCCCTATGTTTGGTTTGGTTTTTCTTTTTTGCATTAACATGATAAGTCTGAGATCCAAAGGGCACGCTGAAAAGCTACCAATTGGCTGCTATAATAGATTCAAACCCCCTTAACAAATATAAAAGAGGAGGAAATCGTTCATCAGAATCCTAAAGGGTTCAGATTTCCCAAGAGACGATTCATTCAGCTGTCCTCGATTGTGGCCACCTCGCTGATGGTCAGGGGACTTGCTTGCTGATGGCCAGAGATGGTATTCTGCATGCCTCCTAGCTCAAATTCTAGAAGCAAAGACCCTCAGAAACCAGAAAGAATCTTAAAGTTACTTACTCCTACTTCCTGATTTTACTGGTGAGGTAACAGACCACGAAGAACGTCTCACGTCCAAGGTTGCACAGCTCAACCCAGGATCAGTGTATAAATTTCCTGACTTCATTTCCCCAGTATCGACCACTAAACAAGCGGGGCCTTTTGCAGCCTGGACGCTGACTTTCTAAAACAGCGTCCTCCACCAGTTGGCTAAGCCAGTGCTGGGCCACCTTGTCTGCCGGCTCTCAGGAAAGGCTCAGAGAAAGAAGGGATACGGTGCGAGCCGCTACTTACTTGAAGGGCTTTTCTCCAGTGTGGGTTCGGATGTGGTTGTTGAGCGTGGTGGCCCCAGCAAAGGCACGACCACAGTAGCCACATTTGAAAGGCCGGTCACTGGAGTGAGTGACCACGTGGTTCCTCAGTTCTGAAGGCTGGGAAAAGGACTGGGAGCAGTGGCCGCACTGGTATGGTCTGAAACAAATGAAGACACTGCCTGGTCATTACGTTCTATGTCAGTCAGCAGACGTTAGCATCACGAGGCAAGGGCCAAAACGTTCTGGGGACGTTCTCTCAGTTTCTGTAACAAAGCATAGCACTGGGGCTGCTAGGTTCTCATGGCTATACTTGTTGCCACACGAACAAAATTAACAGAGCTGATGAGAGCCGTTCATTCCCCAAAGAATATTCCTTTCCGGTATTAGCCATACCATTTCAAGAACTCCTATTTCTTGTTTTGAGCCCCACCCCCAGGCAAATATTGGAGCGTTGAGAGTACAGACTTGATGAAGCACAACAGTACAAGAGAAGATATGTAATTGTCTCTCGTAATTCTGGGGCACTTTAACTTTTCAAAGTGCTTTAACATCAATGATCTAGTTTAATCTTTACAATAATCCTCTCAGGGAAAGCGGATGTTATGATCTCTGTCAGTTCAGAAAAGTGAGGATAAACTGTCCTCAAAGGAAATAAGCTCTTGATGCCAAGGTCACTCTAGGGTGACTCTGGACCTTATTCTAAGTCCCAGGTAAAGATGCAGGCAAGTCAGCAAGCTGCATGTGTGTTTTAATAGATACTAGACTGTCCTGGGGTCTGTCTATAGCACATCCCCAACTTGGGGTTGTGTGATAGTGCACAGGCCAACACAGGCGTGCACCCAGATTTGTTTCTTTGTAAAAGAAATCCTGACTTCTACTTACTCTCTCCCCGCCCCGACCTAAACTCATATTTATCCACTGGGTCTTTTTTTGTGAACTTCGGCTCCCCAGTTTAATCTGGTAGCAAGCAATGATTTATAGCAGCACAGAAATGACAGGATGTCACTATGCTTGCAGGAGGACTGGGATGCAAAAGCAAATGGAAGGAAGTTGTGACAAATACCTGATAATTAGCAAGATTATCAGAGCGCATTCTTTTCAGCTCATGAGAAAGAAATCAATTTTTGGTTTTCATAAAATAAACTAAAATTCTGTCTTCTTTACAGAAGTTCTTCTGCTTACTTAAGCAGAATCTGGTGAGTGATATAAAACCTGGGGAGTTTTCCCTAATCGAGGCTATTTCATATCATTCCTTGACAGGGCTCTAATTTGTTTATCAAAATTTTTCTTGAGAAAATTAATAATCTGTCATGAGCGATATTAACAGAGCTCAGGAAGCCTTGGTTTGTGGCTCAGAAATTTCTGGCTGCGTTTAGAAAGCCAATGGCAAAAGCAGACTTAATTGCTCTACCTTTAGCAAATGCATAAGCTCCAATGACCAGAAACCAAAATGAAGGGCTAGGAAACAATGGTGACCGAGCATGTACAACAATTCAATTACATGCAAAATAAAGTGTACCCTCTCATTTGTCAAGTGAAGTGCTTAATTGTGGCTACTTGCCTCACTGAACACAAATACGATTATTTTACCAGGCTTCAGCGCACTGAGCACTGATTGTAGAATTTTTTAGCTTGATTAATAGTCTGGGATTGGTCAATAACTCAATACTATACAATTTTAATTACTTACATTTAGAAATCTATCTAACTGCTCTCAAACAAGTTTCAAAGAAATATATATAAGAGTTCTTGGTAAGGAGTTTATCAAACTTGACAAATTGCACATGCATTTTATTACAATCATGAAATAAAGCTTTGAAGCCATTAAAATCATATGTAGATGAAAATATCCTTTTGTCAAAATTATTCTTTGTAGTAACCATTAACCTTAAAGGAGTCCTCAAGAAATCATTCTCTCAGGGGTGAATTTTTTAAATGTATTGAAGATTATAAACAAAATAATATATGAATATATACTATATCCACTGACAATTGATTTTTCTAATAGTGAAGGACCATTAACATTTATTAGCCTCTGGTTATCTATTTTTAATAGCTATCACAATAAACAATTAGCCACTAAATAAAACCAATTAATCTTTTTTTTCTGACTCTGCTGTCAAAAGTTGGGGTGATTTATTTCCTATAGTCAGAAGTCATTCCATCCTTTTTATGCTAATAGTCAAGGTGGCAAAGATTTATACACAGAAGAGATGATCACAGAGAGGCTTATGCTGAATTTTTATATCAAGGTAACACCAATGAAAGGCAAATCAGATTATAAAACATCACCTTGGCCAGTACCAGCCTGAGCGGTATTTGCTAGGTATCCCGTGACAGCTTTTAAAACTTTGCAGAATTCAGCTGACTGAATGGAACAACCTCGAATGGGCGAGATGGGAGAGGTGAGTCCTGCTTTAGCCTCTGGCCCCAATTACCTGTGGGACTTGACAAGTCGCCCAACATCCCTGACTCTCCATCTCCTCATCTCTCTGGTAAGCAGGATGGACTGAACTAGATGCCCTCTCACATCCCATCATGTTCTGCTCCTGCTTTCACATAATCAACAAGCACGTGCCACCTAAGGATCTGTCCAAGACATGGCCTCACAGTAGACAGCATCGACGATGTGACCTCCATCCTCCATCGTGTGTACCAGCCAGTGCCCTGCAGGGAGAGCTTTCCATGGTTTTGTGTGTCTAGTCATGCTAACTAGAATACAGACCATTTAAACTTACTTGGTAAACAGTTGAGAATTCAGAGCAAGAAGAAAATCTAGTACCAAAATACAAGACCCAACTTTAGTTGATCTCAAAAAACAAAGTGATATCCCTTTAATCCTGGTACCTTAAAGAGTAAGATTTTAGAGCATATGGTCATATTCACCATCACAGAAACTGATTTCATGTAGAATTTAGAACTAAAATGTGTACTCTATTTGCCACTGTGTTAACAGATTCTCTCAGCCTAGAAATACATGCAAAGTTAGGCCTCAGAAAATACAGACAAGATACTTCTTTCCCTAGATTTTCAATATTTCCTAAAAATGAATAAAAGGAAATGCTCAAAAAGTAATTTTAACATTAATTGTATCCTAGAGTTCATCTAAGGGCATAGGAATACATTCAAGACAGAATGAAATCTTCAAACCCAAGAGCAGGGCTTACTTAGAAAACATCATCATCACCATAGAATCTCAGACATCACAACTTCTTTTGGGACAACTGACCACAGGATTTAAGACTCTGTATGGATGTTTTTAGTAGCACACCCTGACTCCTCACCTCTCAGGTTACAGCTAAAGGGCTTTGGGGGCACAGAATCAGTTGCCATTACTCAGCTTTTTATTGTGATGACTAACATTCTCATTAACTTTTCAAGGTCTGGTCAAAGGGTCAATACTGTGGTGGGGGAGTGGCAGGTACAAACTACTGGGTGTGAGATAGGCTCCAGGATGCATTGTACAACATGGGGAATAGAGCCAATATTTTGTAATAACTGTAAATGGAGTGTAACCTTTAAAAATTGGATATTATAAAAAAAGACTCATAGAATAAAGGGTGGGGTTTGAAAAGTTCTACAAATACTAAAGGGATAAAAAAGTGAAAAAATAAAATATCATCATCAACCAAAAAAAATTAAAAAGTAAGCCTTAATTTATTAAACTTTTGGATACAATCAATTTCAAATCCCAAGTTCTGCTCCCTTTGATGTGTCATACCAGAGGCAGCCCAGGAGGACTGGCATAGTCAAGTGCTGTGTTCAGCTTCACTCTTTGTAGGATCTCATGTCATTCAGCAGCTAAATGGGACTCTCCTTTCTAAAGCACCTTGATTCTTTCCAAGTCATCATACACATACAGCATTTTATTATTCTCAAAACAAATGCAATGAGCATTCTTCACAAAGAGAGAACATTTCATAACCAGTAAAAGCTTTTGGCGGGGTTTTTTTTTTTTTTTTTTTTTTTAACACTACTTGAGATATCTAGCAGTGCTGTCAATGACGGAAGTGTTCTATAACTACACTATCCAATATGGGAACCACTAGCCACAAGCAGCTACTGAGCACTGGAAATGCGGCTAGGGTGACTGAGAAACTGAAGTATTATTTTACTTAACTTTGATTAATTTAAATTTAAATAGCCTCGTGTGGCTTGTTCCAACACAGAAATATCAAGCTTCACGAAAAACGAGAATGTGTTCTGTCCTCAACAATGAAATATCTAAAAAACAGACAAAGCCTGGGTCGATTTAGTTAGCGTATATCAATGCCAGTAGATTTTTAAGCAAAAAGAAAGCAGCAAGACAATTTTGTATGTCCCCTGGCATTCTCTGTAACTGGTGGCTCCTCTGCTAAAGATGACTCCAGTAAAATATGCAATTCATTTACTTTGAGTCTGTAATTGGTTTGTTGTACACATAGGAAAAGGATGAAACATTTAACAAAATTAAGTGTGGTTTGGTTTAATATATTATTAATCCTTCTTTGATTTTTCTTTCATGGCATGAAAGCCTCCAGGACAAAAGTTGTTCAGTTGGGCCCACAGTTGAGCAAATTGGGCCTTGCTCCCCGTCAGTCAAGCCCAAGTGCACATCTCCCAAGACTTCATACGGGGCGTTACTTAGGTCCACTGCTAGCTGTGTGGAGTGAGAAAAGAACTAAGCTCTATGTAAGGAGAAAAAGATTTCAGGAAAGTGGCTCAAGTATGCAGCCGAAACACTGGGAGAACATGGAAAGAAGGTAACCTTCACACTTGGGGGAGGGGGAAACAATGGAACACAAGAACACTGACACATTCCAAAGAAACTATTATGGTGATGGATTATCTCCAGGCTCCTCCCACCAAACGGCTCCTTCTAGAGTTATCTTCCCCTCTGGTACCGCCACACCCAATTATAAACAAGGATACTCCAAACATAAATGTGAACGGCTGACAGTATGCCCAGGAGGCTAAAGGCAAACTTTCCCCAGGTAGCACAATCAGAAAGGAAAGGAAAAGGATGCAAAATAAAGATAAGCACTAAAAAGACATTCTGCAGAAAATAAAAAGAACATATTCATCAGAAAATAATCCACTATGATTGAAGGCATTGCTTACCCCTTTCTGGACTGCCCCCGCCCCCAAATGGGACTGTTGAGAGTTTCTGTAGCAGAAAAACAGAAGAGAAAAGGGATTTCTAATTCCTGTTTCAGGCACAAGTCAGTCAAGCTGCCCTGGCCCAGGTAATAAACTTATGCCAAACCTCAAATGTTTATGAGGTCCCTAAATCCCTAGTCCTTAGTCTAGATCTAGGTTAATCTAGATTCCGACAGCTTCTTCCCTTTGAATTCACTCAGGAAAGAAAAAGTCAGTAGCTTGAGAAAAAAGAAGAAGAGACTTTTGGTTTTGTATGTTTAATATTAACAGAATAAAATCAAGAAATAACGATTCTGTGCCTCCTGGGCTCTCATACGGGTGTATTTTTATCTTTAATGCTAATCCCTACTTTGAAAGGTCAAATGGAATTTTTTTCTGCGTTCAATGTAAATAACACGGTAGTGAAAAATGGTAATGCTGACAACCCAGGGTATCCTCGGATCTCCTTCCTTTATATCAAGGCATAGACTTACTGATGGTCCCTCACATGGAAAAGCTCACAAATAAAGACACACACAGTCTCTTTCATGAAGGTTCAAATGTCTTGGGTTTCATGGCCAAATATTCAGTGTGCTGAGTGAAAAATCTTTTGGACCTAAGATTCGGGGGCCTGTTTCAAATTTGGACGTGTTTGAAACTCTAACCTGTTTACTTTCTGACTTTGTCTTCTGTGTCTCCCTTTCTTGCCTCTAGTTCTAGCAAGATTTTCCTAGCAAAATAAAACGTTTGAGTTTTTCAAATAGAAGGGAAATGGTTTCTGACTGGCAGGTTCTAAGCTTTTTCACTGTATATGGCTGAATGGGCACAAACCGCCAAAGACTAAAAGCCACCGAATTTATGGAGTCAATCGCTAAAGAAAATATGTATACTCAGCAGTTGTAAGTCTCCACATGGATAATAAGAGGAATGACTCCAAATTTCACAACCGTGCACAAACTGATGTTCCATTTTAGTTCTGCATGTTTCTCCTCTTTAGCAATTCACCTGTGTGGTCAAGAATTAGGGAAAGTATCTTGTACTTCAAAACTTGCCGGTACCAGGAGAGCATGCTAGGTTCTAGAACACCATACAGAACCTATATGCTAAAAGCAAATTATGTAACTCAATGAAATTATGTATCTCAATGAAACTAGTGGGTCAAAGAGACTGGGCATCTCTATTTCCCTTATCTCCAGTAATCAACTCAGATGTAATGGAGTAATTCAAGCATCTCCCCATTACTAGTAAGAAACATTGTACTTTCTTACTTTGCCTATAAAGGGACTAATTCTTTGAACTCATAATTCTTAGTTTTAACTTATTCATGAATGACGGTGAATCATACCGCCTCTCAAGGCTTCACCAACAAAGCACAGGGAAGAGAGAAGTAGGAATCCACTGCTTTAATAATTTGATTCCACCCTGGTGATCTACCTGAATATCAAGCACATTACTTCACCTCATCTGGAAACCTGGCCAAACGACACCTGGGCATCTGCATCAAATAAGCCCACCGGGGTCTCGCACTGGATGGGAGTCTCAAGCCACTTGGATTTTTGCCAGTAACTCTAGATTAGCTTGGAATCAGCAATGACCTAACAGTCTCTCGTGGAAGTCTATTTTGTACATGTAAGTTTTCTAATTTGTAGGGTACTTTTCTGACAGATTACATAGATGCTTTATAAATTCTGACATTATTATTTGACAGAACAGACATCATAGGGACTTAAAGCATAATCCACATATGGTTTTCGAAGTGTAACTGGGGTCAGACAAAACAGTCTGTTTTGCTAACTTTCTGTTTACCAAGACATATTTTCATTGTTTTATATGACATTCAGCATGAAACTGTATCATACCCAAAGCTAAGCTTTCAGTTCCTGTATCCAGAAACTTTCAACTATCATTTCATCTTACCTTGTATGTTCAGTTACTATGACCACAATGAACCTGTGCAAATAACAGATCCATACACCTAAACTCATTCAATTCAAAAAGCAAGTTTATAACAAGATTTTAATGCATTTTTATATTAAAAAAATAAAATGCTTTGCAAACTCTGAATAGATATATCTTGAGGCTATCTGTATACTTGCAAGGAAGGCAGACTTTAAAAAAAAAAACCCTGTTGGAGTAAGGAAAACATTTTCAAAACTTTTGTGTCCCCTCTAAAGCCAGTAGTACTAAGATATGCAGAAGTCCGTGGATATTTTCACCAGGGGACTCTCCTATCGAAGGTAAAAGATTATAAAGACACAACCACCTTAACAGCTGTAATACAAATGCTTCAACATCAATCAGTCACAGCAATGCTTGATGCCAAGCAAGTAGTTTCTAGAATGGCACAAATAAAAATATATACACATGTAAATGTGCACATGTACCCTAAAATGGATCATTATTATTTCTGAAAAGATTCACCCCCTCTCCACCACACTTCTATCCTCCCTGCCTGCTTGGGTTCGAGTACACTGTCATATCCTGCAGAGCTGGGAGGGGAGAGTTGGATGTATATCATAAGGCAAGGAGAGCTGAGTGGCTTAAGGTTAATCAGTGGCCAAATTAAGAAAATAATTCCGGAGTCCTGCTTTCGAGTCTCCTATCCTACTTCCAAAATTTACGTTCTGCTTTTATATTCAAAATATTCTTAGATATTTGGTGTTTAATCAAATTTTCATAGGATGTGAAGGGGAGATAAAACACTGTCCTTTCTTACTGAATTAATTTGATTTTTGTCTTTTGCACTCCCAGCTATCAAGACTGTCGAATAAACCAGTTTTGACTCATAAATAATAGTTCCATTATATCTACTGTGCCACTCGTCAGAGTACCTGAAATTTTAATTCACTTGTTCAGCTAAATTTCATCCTCAGTTCATGGCCATAAAATTCTTTATTGACAAACTTTCAAAGCAACTTTGACTCTGAGGTATCTAGTCAACATTTTTCTTCTGTGTGGATATTAGTTTATTGAATAAGTGGCATCTGTTTTCCTCCACATCACTAGCAGAGTAGGTATTTCCTTTTGACAGCTTTGCAGGATTTATGGGTTTGCATGCTCTGAAGAAAAATAGTACTAAGCAAAAAATTCCAATTCATTACCTCTTAGTACTTAATTAAGTTCATACTCACGGCACACTGGAGGTGAACCCTGAGACGACTGAACAGCAGCAGAGCAGCCAGCTATATTATCTTTGGAAGACAGAGAGGATTCTAATTATCCTGACCTCATTTTTCCATCTATGATATTCATCAATGTGCCTTCTATTTTGCCTCCCGTTAGACCTGGGCAGAGCTGTTTGGAAAGCGACAGCAGATTCCTTTCTGCAGCCACTGTTCATGCAGCCCTTCTACACAATAAAGCCAAAGAGGGGCCCAACGTTACTCTATGACCTTCCAGAATGCAGACCTCTGATCACAGAGTTCTCCCTGAGGTGTGACTGGAGGAGGCGACAGGAAGGCAAGCAGTGAGTCTCAGAAGCAAACACAGCCGGCGAGCAATGAGAGGTGGGGTTACCTGTCGGGGTTCTGCGTGCACACGTGCATCTGTAACAGGATCCTCTGTGTGAAAGTCTTAAAGCACTGCCCGCACTTCCAAAGATGCCAGTCACTGAACTCCGAGTGGAGCTGGCTGGTGGAGGTCGGGCTTGCAAGGACTCGCTGGTTTTTCACGTTGATTTGATTAAATCCTGATTCCATGGGCCCAGACTTATCCAGGAGGGAGAAGTTCCTGCCGCACGGAGTCTGTGGGAAGACGACGGAGCGCTGCTGGGCGGCGGGGGAGAGTTTGCTGCTCTTGTTGAAGGGCTGCAGGGGGTCCTGTCTGCACATGGCTTCCATGACCGTCGAGGGGACATTTACTGGGAGAACAGCAAGGGGTTGAGAAGATCAGTTTTATTAGCCCTTCAAATAAGCATGATAACACACACTTCTAAAAAATTCCTATAAGTCAACAGTTTAAAAATTGGTTTTTCTGGACTCAGAATGGACATAGAGCAGACAATTTGATTTAAGGGGACAAGCACAATTACCACAAATGAACTCATTCAATGCCTATATTTATTAAGCACCTATTTTCTGCTCGAGATTTTTCATACATGGTCTTTGCCCTCACAGAGCTCACTTATGACTTGAGATAAAAAGACTCCATAATGAGGCTCCACACTGCAGCCTAGATTTGGGGGTTCTCAGATGGGAGGTACAGCAAGAGACAGGGAGAGAAAGGTGGGGCTCCCCAGAGACGGTGGCCTTGAGCAGAGAAGGTAGATTCAAGCCTTCAGGATTTCAGGCCTTCCATCCAACCCTGCCAGCACAAATCAGGTTTTCAAGAAAAACTGGCTGAAGAGATGAAGGCAACCCTATGAAAGACGCCTGGAGACAGAAGTCTGGCACGCTGGTGGGATGGCACGGGAATCGAGCTGACCGAGCACAGCGTGGGCTTTCGGGGGGCAGATCTCAGAGGGCCTTTAATGTCCAAATAAATAAACAGAAGACTTCAGGCCTAAGAAATAGACACTGACTGTTTCTGACCAGAGGAACAGCAAGAAAAGAGCCAGTGTTCAGGAAGGGCCCGAGTGAGGCACGATGCACAGACAGGGTGCGGTGTGTAAGGTAAGAGTGGGAGGCGACAGAGTATGCAATCTTGGAGCTCGGTGCTTGACACTCGGGGTTTGGAATCAGAAAGATCTATGGAGTTACGCAATCTCCCTGTGCCTCTGTTTCATCATCTGTAAAATGAGGACAATGGAAGTGATCATCCTAACAGTAATAGCATTATGGCTTAGAGGTCGAGACGGCCTAAACTTGAACTCCACTATTCACAGCTGTCCCTTGGTATCCAATGGGGGTTGGTTCCAGAGCCCTCACAGATACCAAAATCTGTAGATGCTCGAGTCCCGTATATAAAATGGCACGGTATTTGCATATAATCTACTCATATCCTGCCGGATATTTTAAATCACCTCTAGATTAGTTATAATATCTAATATCATGTAAATGCTATGTAAATAGTTGCCAGCATGCAACAAATTCAAGTTTTGCTTTGTGGCACTTTCTGGAAATTTTTTCCCCAAATATTTTCCATCTGTGGTTGGTTGAATCTGCGGATGCAGACCCTTGGATATAGAAGGCTGACTGTAATACCTTTGTGACTGTGGGAAAACACAGAACATCTGAATACACAATTTAGTCCTTGGTAAAATGTAAAGTGGTTACTGGAAGAACTGGGTGCGATAATGCATAGACAGCAGCTAGTAAATGCTATGGTTGCCACCCGGTAGATGTTGAGCTCTAGGAGCCCTGGCTTCCTTATCTTTAAACCCCCTTTTATGCGGTTTAAATGAGATACTGAAAGTGCTCATCACAGGGCCTACCATCAACAACAGCCACCATTCTTATTCTAGAAGAAGAGACTGGAATGAAGGGAGATGGATTCAAGCATGGGTGGTGGCAGTGGGAGTGGGGAAAGAATTAAAAGAAACATTTTTGAGGAGGGAACCCTAATATACATGAAATTTTTCTTTCTTTCTTTTTTTTAAGTTGCCATTGTGTTAATAATATATATCATGTATTCACTGGTCAACCCACAGGTTCAGAGGTAATTAGAACCTAATATGCTTAAAAACTGTTATTCTTTTTTTAAGTAACCACTCTGTCAATAAAATGTATTTCTTGGTATTTCAGAGATCATAGAGATTAAAGGTTACAGGGTGGTCAAGAGAGGGAAATTAGAGGCCAAAAAGTTTAAAAAAGGATAACTGGCAAAAAGGTTAGTGATGGGAAGTAAACTATGGCTGTTGGTCACTAGTTCAAGGCCACGTGGAGGAAATACATGAACTGGGAGCTCTCATTCTTTCCTGACATGGACCATCTCTGAGAGTCCTACGAAGCACGAAGACTCAGGCGTCCTCAACTACAAAAAGAGACTGGTAGGGGACCGTGACCGCCAGGAGGCTCCACGCCTGAGTGGACAGGTAGACACCACGTGTGGAGGTTAATGGGCTGCCACTAAGGACTCTTCAACTCTGAGTGTTCTACACAATCACATGTATTTGATGAATCCAACAAAAGGAATAGCTCATCCTACAGGGTTCTGTTGGCCTGGCCCATTCTGTCTTAGGAAGGAGAAATAAAACAAGAGACTCACAGACCAGGGGAGAGCCTAGTTTGTCTAGTTGGCAGTTCTTTACCCTGAATGCATATTAGACTCACAGGGGAGATTTTTTTTTTAAATACCAGAATCTCTTGGTAGGGCCTAGGCATCTGCATTTTTTGAAATTCCCCAAGTACTTCTAATATACAATCAGAGATGAGAACCACTGATCTAATCCTACCCTCTCTTATTACCAAAAAAAGAAAGAAGGAGAAGAAAATGCTAAAGACCAAGCAGGTCTAATAATTTGCCCATGGTCATACATTCGGTCAAGGATACAGCTAAGCTGGAAGCTTTAGCTTTCTGATTTCCAAGGCACTTTTTTCTGACCACACTCCCATTCTGTGTCTGCTCAATAGCTGTGTTGCAAAAATAAAAAGGACATTTTACAGCTAGTACAGAGTTCTGTGTGTGTGTATATATATACCCATGCATAAACATATGTTATATATGCACCTATATACACATGTACAGACATATTTATGTATATATTTCACATATAAAATTTATGTATAATTTCAACTTCTGGGGCAAAGTGTATAACCAATATGAAATGTGTGCATACATTTCAGACTCTCAAAAAATCTTTGTACACAGACTGTGACTTTTGAAATACATATTGAAAGAAAAGGAGAAATGTTTTATGTTTTGGCTCTTTCTTAATTAAAAAAAAAACAAAACAGCAGCATTGTCAGAGATTAGGGTAAAATTCATCTTATTTAGCCTGTTTATAACTAATCCGGAAGAGACAAAGCACAGGGAAACCCGCAAGTCTTCAGGCAACACTAAGCTCTTGCGGTTTGGGAAGGCCAGACTAGCAGGAAGGAAGGCGGGGTGGGGAGACTGTGGAATGAAGATGTCATCAACATGCAAGAGAGCAGGAAAACCAGCCAGAAGCTCACTGCTGGAAAGAGGAATATGATGCCTCTAGGGGAAATCATACAAATAATACTCTAAGTATAGATTATAAATGCTGACTTCTCACTTAAGCTCCTGGAAAGTAACCCAATAAATTCATTTTCAAAAATTGTTAAGGGCACACCACCTTTCTATTAAACAAAAGAATGTGTGGGTCAATGGATTTTTCTAAGTTTAATAATCAATGTCAAAATAGTAATAAAGAAAAGTTTATACCAGTTTGTATAATGATGTGGGATAAACGGGATCTGAGTTAATGATAATAATAGCATTTAGGTAATAAGAGTTGGGATGGTTATTCTCTGTCTTCTTTCCTCCTATGGAACACTTCAAAACAAACATACTATGTTTTCAAGATACAGCAGCGACACCTGCACTCTATAGTCTGCTTTTGGCATGATCTTTTCTTGTACTTGTGAATAAATTCAATCCTGCTGAATGAAATGAGCATATAATTTAGAGAGAGAAAAAAAAAAGTAAGGCTAGGAATGGATAAGTTTCATGAAAGCAACCATATTTGCTCTTGAAGCTGTCCTGCAGAGCGCCTGCATACTTCCACAGGACCCTAGAGGTCTAGATACAAAGCACAATTTTTTAAGCAGGACTTAAAAGGACACAGAGGATCATTCTTCCTAATACCAGTCTGACTGGCCCAACAAACAAAAGTATTAACAAAACACAGGGAATTATAAGAGGACAAGAAATGAATCGGAAAACACTATGTTATCCCAAGCCATGACAGTCCAGACCACTGCAAAAGGCCCAGAAACGACTAAGGCAATTCCCCAAAAGGATGAAGGGGTTTCTACATGAAGACATAATGAGCAAGTAAAATCTCTTCAGTCTATAAGACAAAGGTTAAGGGAAAGAGGGCAAACTTTCAAAGCCCTAAAGGATTTAGTCAGGAAAGAACATAAACTCATCAAATCCTGCAAAATTAAACCCCTGAGAGAATGCAATGCAGGATCTATACAACAAAGTCCTACTTTACACCCTCATCCACTCATTCAGTCCACAAATGCGTACAGAGCATCAGTGACAAGCCTGACATTGCTGGCACTGAGGATACAGGGGAACAAGAGAGCCACAGCCCCGGCTTTCAGGCCACGTAAACTGTAGTGACAGAGACAGATATTATACAAATGTCCTTACAGGTAAATATTTACTCAGTTTCATCAAATCTAAACTTCCATTAATTGCAAGCCACACCATTAATTGTAAGTCACTGATCATTATAACACACTTAGCAGGTTCAGAAAGATCAAAATGTGAAAAATATATGAATTTTAGAATTGACGATATTCAGTTGCTACAAGTGTAATAAGTGGTATGACAGAGAAGAAAGGAGGCCAAGAAAATGTCTAACAGGGATGGCTAAACTTCGGGTGGGAATGATGGCTTCCCTGAGGCAGTGACCTTGAACGTGAGTCCTGAAGGGTACACAGCATCAGACAGGTGCAAAGGGAGGAAAAAGGGGATGAGAGGAGATGACACGTTGGCAGCTGTGTCACTAAGTCTGAATGGCATGCTGAGGTGAGGAGCTCAGGCCATGGAAGGAATGGAAAGCAGACTCATGTGGCCAGAGAACGAGGCAGAGATGGGCTGTAGCTGAGGCTGGAGAAGAAGGCAGCACAATTCCCAATGCCCGTGGCGGCAGGGCACATAGCAGAAATCAGTGCTGGGAAGCAGGTTAATACAACAGAGGACGGTGGGGTCTTCAGCAAACTAAATAGGGCATGGCCAGCGTAAAGATGTTTGAATTCGATTTTTTGCAAAACACTATGTGAGCCA